TTTGCCGCGGCTAACCTAGCAAGGATTTTCCAGCTTCTTTTGTCTGCGAAGCGCTGAAGGTTTTTTGATGTGTTGCTTAGTCAACACTGCTGCTGCAACTTAAAACAGTGTCGTACAAAGGACTTTCTTCAAAAATTAACACTTTTTTGAAGGAGGTTGTGTGTAATTTTGCCATTTTGGCGTTTAAAAAACGCATTTCCATTTAACTGTTATGCGTTTTCGCATGTATGTAAATGCACAAAAGCATATTGTGACGACCCATGATGTGTATATGTTTGTGTATGTGCGTGTGTGTCTGTGAGTCTGGATACTTTAATTCGGCAACCAAGCAAGCTTCGGCGCTGAAACTTTGCCAATGGGTTTACCGGCCAAGTACCATCCCAGGACCGCAGTCCCCTCCTCCCCCAATGTAAGTCTGAGCCCCGTGAACGAACACATGAAAGTCTTAGCGGGAAAATGCTAACTCGGAAACCAGAAAAGCTGAAAGGCTGAAATTTTAAAGGGACACTTCCCGTCTACTACAAGTTAAGGATTCCAAATTCAGACCCCAGGTATAATCGGTTCTCACATACAGACATTTACATGTTTTGGCAGGGAAATTGCTCACCGAACAACTGGGCAGTTTTATCACCAAAACATGTAAATGTCTGTATGTGAGAACCACGTATACCTGGTGTTAATTTGAAAGAACGACTATTCGATTTTCTTTTATGCAAAACTTACTATGATTTATGCTAATGAGCGTACAAAGTAAGTATGAAGCAGCAAACATTCATACAGTTAACGACCTGACTGCTTCAAATTTAGTGCAAAAACGCCCGGCCGCACTGTAAAGCCTGATGCGCTCCAGCCTAGGGTCAAAACTTGAATGATGAGATAACGGTACTCTGACAATAAACTGACGCATATATAGATTAAAAGTATTTTATGAGCACTCACCAAACGGATCTTTTGCAACGATTGGTTCGATGGTCTCTAGCGGTTCACCAACACCGTACTGATTCTCAGCAGAAATTCGGAATTCGTAAGGATGACCATTTTCAAGATTGCGAACTCGAAAGCTGGTCCCAGCTGGCTGTCCAACCTTAGTCCAGCTGCCATCAGGTTCTCGCTTTTCGACTACGTAATTAGTGATTCCAGCACCACCATCATCCACTGGTGGATTCCAATGAAGCGTCACTGCTTCACCAGTTATTTCGCTAGGTGTTATTGGACCAACTGGTTTTCCAGGCGGTGACAAGACATTAACATTCAACTTAGCAGTGTCTTTTCCGAACCGATTACTCAGTGTAATACGGTATGGTCCCGCATCTGTTCGCTTCGCTTCCTTTGTTGTCAATGTTACAAAACCATCGCTTACCTAAATTCATAGCCGAATTCAGAACTGATGACACGCATAACATTGCAGTATTGTTTGAAGCTATAGCAGGAAGAATGAGGAAAATGGCGTCAAGCGGAATTATAGTACTTCATTTAAGCAAATAGTCCGGAACTCTTTTACCAAAATTTGATTTTCTTATCCTAGATAGTTCACGAATTAGACAAAAAACAGACGTACAGATACAAAAACACACAAGCACACAAACACACGCACGCAAATGCACACACACAAAGGTACAAACACGCACCCACATGACCTCATACTAAAGTCCAATCAGTGCTGCAAAAACGCATAAAAACTATAAATAATTCCATTTTTGTAAATAGAAATTTTACCTCAATTTTGACACGGTCGTCGTCCCCATATATCTCGTGTAAATCATTGAACACAGTTGCAACTGGTTTTGGATTGCCGCCAGTGAATGGAATCTTAATTTCAAAGTCTTCGCCAGCTTTGACCGTGATATCTTTCACGCCGGACAGATCTAAGCACGGCCGCCCTGGCTGTTCCTCGATGCGTACCATCTCGGTTGGCCTGGATGGTTCTCCTTCTCCAGCTGAATTGACAGCCTTCACACGGAACTCGTATTCTTCATTCTCTTCCAACGGTGCCACTACGAATCTCGTATCTTTCACAGGTTTATCATTGCAGAGCTCCCAGTCACTAGTACCAGCTTTTCTTTTTTCGATGATATAACCTTCAATCGGTGCTCCGCCATCTTTTAACGGACGGGCCCAGGTTAATTCTGCCGAATTCTTCGTAACCTTACCGATCCTCGGCTGGTCTGGAGCTCCAGGTGCTGTAACGAACGGGCGGCACATTGTTGGTTCCGAACTGCCACTCGGTTCACCTTCGCCGGCAGCATTTACGGCTCGAATCCTGAACTGATAAGTTTCACCTTCTTTCAAGCCAGTTACAGTAGCCTCAGTTTCCTTAATGAGACGCATCTTGACCGGTGACCAATCACCACCACCTTTCTTTTCAAATTTCTCTATCACATAGCCGAGGATAGGTGAGCCACCGTCGTTATGCGGTGGATTCCAAGACAAATTTATCAGGTTGCGATCGTATCCAGTAACTTCAGGAGTTGACGGTGGTCCTGGTGGA